ATTAAGTATCTGCTATATATCAGTTACTCTTACAGATGCTGAGAATGCAAAGGTGATTATGAAATGGTCTAGGCTATCATTTTTCTTGGAAAACATTTGCCCATTTGTAGTAAAATATCAATTTTATATATATATTATATAAATATATATTATATATATTAATATATAATATATATTTATATAATATATATAAATATATGTATATAAATATATATTATATATATAAATATATATAATATATATTTATATAATATATATAAATATATGTATATAATATGTATATAAATATATGTATATAATATATATATAAATATATATAATATATAAAAATATATTTATATTTATATATATAAATATATATATAATATATATTTATATATATATAAATATATATAATATCAATTCCATATATATGTGTGTATATATATACACATATATATGGAATATATTCTATTTTTCACACATATATATATATATATATGTATGTTTTTACTTATTTTCAGGATATAGGAAAGTTAAATAAATGTGTACTATTTCCAAAACTAGATGATCTATCTGGTAGAGGATAATTAAATGAAAATAAATACACTTTTTTTAAGTTTGGTTAATTCTAAGTGAAATGATTGAGTATCCCAATTTGCTTAAGAAACATCTACTTATGTAGTAATGATAAAATATGCTACTTGTAAATTTTGAAATACCTTAAACATTAAGTAATTATTATTTTACTTGTAAACTATATGTTTATTACTATATAGAAATTTTATATGATTCTACACATAAAAATTGATAACTATCGAACTTAGTTCCTAAAATGTAACATCAGCAATATTACTTAATTACTATTGTTTTAATTTAGTATGTTGTTTATTTGGCTTTGCCAAAATTTACCCTTCATTATGTGATGAATAGCAATAAATGTAGTTTGCTCTTGGAGGTCCATTTTTATCAAAAATGGAAACCTACTTTCCTGCAAGTCGAGTGTTCACATTTGTAACTAAATTTATTACTGGGTTGGCATGTGCTTTTCCAATGAGAGCAATTCCAAATTCCCATAATGAAAGTATGGAATAATATAGAAACATGAATAGATTGAAAAAAAGACTTATAAGTAATCAGACATAAGTGTTATTATGACCGTGCCATTCAAAGATAATACATTTTCAAGAGATCGAAAATTGTGTATATTGATCTTCAAATTCTTTCATCACAGAAAAAATAACCACCTTTTTTTAAAAAGAAAAAAAAAACTACTTTAAAATAGTTTCTTCAGAAAGATGTTCCAAGGGTAAGTGCTTTTAAAAGTCAAAAAATTTAAATTTACTTTATAAAAGAATTATGATCAATTTGAAGATGAACTCAATTAATTAAATAATAAGAAAAGAAGAAATTAATTTCAATAGTTCCTAAAGAGGATGGGATAATGTCTAACTGAGATAATATATTTTCATACCTCTGCTCTTTAAATTTTACAACAGTGTATTGATTTAGAATTTTCCCTGAACATAGTCAAATCCATTTTTTTTTTACTTTATCAATGCAGAAATATTCCTAATCCTGAAATTAGCATTTTTAATATGTGAGTTTATAGTGAATCTAACTACAACTTTTTAAAAGTCCAACAGCCAGTACTCTGTGTGAGGATTATTTCTTATTATTTATCCATTTTAACAGGTAAATTTAAATTGTTATGTCTATTTGTGTCTTTCGAAGTTCACTGTTAAAAGAAAAACAAAATCAAATGAAACTAAAAACTAAGATTATTGTGGGCTACACAATTTGCTTGCTGTGTTACCTGAAGTGTACCTTGCCTCATGTAGATTTCAATATATTTCTTGCATAGAAACCATATAAATCAGGCATTTTGATTTTTTCCTTTTTGTGAATGCGTAACAGAATCATTTTATTTTGTATTTGGGTAATTTGGGGCAGGTTTTATGTTTTGGCATGCTGTATTTTTTATTTAATTAACTATAACTAATAACTGGTAATATTTGACATTTTCAGTACCATTCTTTTTAATTATTTTTCAAAATAAGCCTTTTTTTTCTGCTTCAAAGCTTATCTAGAAGGCATATTATTCTTTTTTTTAATTGCATGATTTATTTGGATTTAGTTTTGAAACTTATTTACATTTGCAGTTTTCAATTTAGCTTTCAAGTATTTTCCATTCCCAATTCTAGCCCATTTTATCACAGATTCAAAATACATATTTTACTGAATGCTGAATGATGTCTGATTGCATATTTAACAAATTAAACATAAATGATATATTTGACTAACAGAAGATATACTGTGAATATCAATGATATCAGGGAAAATTAAAAATGTATAAAGCATGTTATTACCACAGAAGTATAATTGGGGGAATTGTGCTCCTCCTATTTTGCATTAGTACATACAGAAACATATAAAAGGTGTACTGAAACAGAATAATTGTAAGATCAGAATTCTCAAAGCACAGGGCATCTAGTCTCCATTTGTAGCTGTGGAGACTCTGTGAAGCACATATCACAAAACTGCTCTTGACAGTTTAGACAGTGTGGATTTGCTCCAACTGGCACTGCGATGCCCTCCCAAGGGGAGCATAGTCAAGGTTTATAAGGGCCCAAGTGCCCATCATCTGTCAGGCACCCTTTCTCTTCTCTGACTTGGGTTCATTTCACTTTATCTCTGGGACACAGACACCACATCACCCATGACATCTGACAGAAACCATAACAGATTGAGAAAATAAAAATAAACCTTGAAAACTGAACTTTTAAATCATGCTTGTATTTATTTGAAAAAGCTGTTATTTTGTTAGAATGTCTCCTTAGTCTCAGATGTGCTGGCTTATCTTTAAAAGTGAGTTACCATTCCATTCTTGACAAAAAAAAAAAAAAATGGGTAAATGCAATTTCATTCATATTTCTCAAAATGGGTTGCTTTTTTCTCATTAGGCTTTGTTTTAATGGATCTCAAAGTTCTGCAATAGACTTTTGTTCAAGTTGTTTCTATTAAAAAGTATGGATTTTAAAAACTAATAACTTAAAATGCAAAAGGAAACATAGTTCACAAAACACTTTCTTTTCCTTCTGAATGTTTTACAATGCATTATTATCAACCAGACTTAAATGGCCAATTGAAAGAAATAGTCCCAAGACCATTCTTCCACCACTGATTAAAACTGGGATGGTAGGCATAGCTTTCATTTTCCTTTAGCCTTCTGAGTTGTCTGGGCAGACTTAGTTACCTTGTCAGCTTCATCAGCCTTCTTGTCAACTACTTTGATGACACCCACAGCAGCTGTTTCATATCACTAACAGCAAAACGACCCAGAGGAGAATAGTTAGAGAAGGTCTCAACACACGTGCGCTTGCCAGGAATCATATCAGTGATGGAAGTATCACCACAATTTAGGGTCATTTTCCAGCTTCTTCCCAGAAGAGTGCTCAATCTTTTCCTTCAGTGCAGTAAACTTTCAAGCAATGTGGGTACTGTGACAATACAAGGGTGTAGCTAGCACTGATTTAGTCTGGATGGTTCAGAATTATCATCTGAGCAGTGAAGCCAGATGCTTCCGTTGGTGGAACGTATTTACTGTCACCAGAAATATTGCCACGACCAACATGTTTGACAGGCACATTCTTAACACTGAATCCCACATTGTTCTCAGGAAGAGCTTCACTGAAAGCTTCATGGCACAGTCCAACAGACTTTACTTCAGTTGTAACATTGACTCAAAGAAAGGTGACCACCATACCAGGTTTCAGAACACCAGACTCCACCTGGCCCACAGGTATAGCACCAGTATCATCAATTTCGTGGATATCCTGGAGAGGCAGATGCAATGGCTTGTCAGCTGAGTGAGCTAGTGGTGAGATGTAAACCAGGGCTTCTAGCAGCATGATTCCACTGTCATTGCCATCTTTTTGAATGACTTTCCATGCCTTGAACCACTTGGCTCCAGCCTATTATCACCATTCCAACCAAAAGTTAGCACAAATGCTACTTTATCAGGGTTGTAAGTCAATTTTCTTAATGTGAGTGCTGACTTCCTTAACAATTTCTTCATATGTTTTCTGGTTGTAGGGTGGCTCAGTGGATTCTACTTTGTATCACACCCAGTGTGTGAGCCAGAAATGCACACTCATGGGTTTATCCATTCTTGAAAAAAATAACTCCAAAATCACCAAGGCCAAGAGCAACAATTGTACAAGCCGGCCTGAGACATGCCTGCAATCAGATTTTTGATAATGTATCTGTGTCGTGGGTCATCAGTGATAGTAATACTTGCTGATTTCAAATTTCCACGGAGAGATATCAATGATGATACTATATTCACACTCAAATGTTTACGATATTCACACTCAACAGTTTATTAAGACCAAGGCATACTTGAAGGAGTTCTTTCTCATCTCAGCAACCTCATTCTCAATATTTTCAATGGTTCTTTTGTTGATTCTACAACATTTGTACATCAGATGACAAGTATAGGTGGACTTGCCTAAATCTACATGTTAAATGACAACAATGTTGATGTGAATTTTTTTGCTTCCCATTTTGGTTTTAGCAGTGGTTTTTATGACATCTGTGTTCTGACAGCAAACCTCTTGCAAGAAGAATGAGTTGCTTTTCTTTACCAGTCTGCTTGAATAATCAAACCCTGTGACTATACGGGCAATCTTGTGTACAGCATACTTCTTTGAATTAAAGAGTACTTATTTTATCTCTACATTATAAACAAGGACTCATAACTTGTCAACATAAAATGCAGGCAGATCACCTTAGTTCACGAGTTTGAGATGAGACAGGCCAACACAGCAAAACCCTGTCTCTACTAAAAATACAAAAATTAGCCAGGCTCAGTGGCATAAGCCTATAATCTCAGCTACTCCAGAGGCTGAGGCAGGAGAATTGCTTGAAGCCAGGTAGTGGAGGTTGCAGCGAGCCAAGATCAGCCACTGTGCTCAGCGTGGGCAACAGAGCAAGACTGTCTCAAAAAAAAATTCATTGTCACCACCTGCCTCCGCTTCCCTGGCCAGCTCAATGCTGACCTCCGCAAGTTAGCTGTTAATATGGTCCCCTTCCCACGTCTCCCTTTCTTTATGCCTGGCTTTGCCCCTCACACCAGCCGTGGAAGCCAGCAGTATCGAGCTCTCACAGTGCCTGAACTCACCCAGCAGGTCTTCGATGCCAAGAACATGATGGCTGCCTGTGACCCCCGCCACAGCCGATACCTCACCGTGGCTGCTGTCTTCCGTGGTCGGATGTCCATGAAGGAGGTCGATGAGCAGATGCTTAACGTGCAGAACAAGAATAGCAGCTACTTTGTGGAATGGATCCCCAACAATGTCAAGACAGCCGTCTGTGACATCCCACCTCGTGGCCTCAAGATGGCTGTCACCTTCATTGGCAACAGCACAGCCATCCAGGAGCTCTTCAAGCGCATCTCAGAGCAGTTCACTGCCATGTTCCGCCAGAAGGCCTTCCTCCATTGGTACACAGGCGAGGGCATGGACGAGATGGAGTTCACCGAGGCTGAGAGCAACATGAATGACCTCGTCTCTGAGTATCAGCAGTACCAGGATGCCACCGCAGAAGAGGAGGAGGATTTCGGTGAGGAGGCTGAAGAGGAGGCCTAAGGCAGAGCCCCTATCACCTCAGGCTTCTCAGTTCCCTTAGCTGTCTTACTCAACTGCGCCTTTCCTCTCCCTCAGAATTTGTTTGCTACCTCTATCTTTTTTTTTGTTTTGTTTTCTTCTGGGGGGTCTAGAATAGTGCCTGGCACATAGTAGGCACTCAATAAATACTTGTTGGTTGAATGTCTCCTCTCTCTTTCCACTCTGGGAAACCTAGGTTTCTGCCATTCTTGGTGACCCGGTATTTCCTTCGGGTGCCCATTCCTTCCATTTGTCCAGTTAATATTCCCCTGTTAAAAATCTGCAAGAAGCTGGGTCTCATCTAGATCCCATTTAGAACCAACCAGGTGCTGAAAACGTATGTAGATAAGGGCAACCATCCTAAGTGCAAAGTAGAAAATGGTAGAAGGTAGTGGGATAGAAGTCACTGTAAGGAAGGGGATGGGATTTTTCCATTCTAAAAGTTTTGGAGAGGGAAACCCAAGCTATTAAAAGTCATTAATTTCTACGTATTTCCATTTCCCATCTCAGCTTCAAGGGAGGTATTAGCAGTATTATTTCCATTTTCGATCTCCCTCCAAGCTCTACCTTTTGGAGGGGTCTGCCTCACTCTGTCAAGTGGAATCCTTCCCTCTCCAACTCTACCTCCCTCACTCATTAAACTCCTTTCCCCTGATCAGAGAAAGGGATCAAGGGGGGAAAGAGACCAGCCTTGGTCCCTAAGCCTCCACAAATGTCCTCCTAACCCCCCACCTTTTCTTGTCCCCAAAAAGGAATTAACATCCCTATGTGGAATGGTGTATACTGCCACATCAGTGTTTGAGTCAATGCCCAGAGGAGGGGGGGAACCTCCTCCATCTTTTTTGCAACATCTCATATCTTCCCTTTGCTGTTGCTTCCCCCCACCACACACTTGATTTTGTTCTATCCTACATTTGAGATCTATTTTGTGTTGAACTTGCTGCTTTTTTTCATATTGAAAAGATAACATTGCCCCAAGAGCCAAAAATAAATGGGAATTGGAAAAAAAAAATTCATTGTTAACTTTTACCTGATTTTGTTTGTTTTAATTTCATCTATACTATTGGCTCAGGGAAGGTACTTTGCAACCTGTTTTACACTGTGTTAGGGATGAATATATCTTTAGGTTTTCAATACAAGAACAGAATATATAGAACTACAAAAATGCATTTAAAAATTATTATTTTGACTCCTGTTTCCACAATACTTTGCATCATACTGGATTGTATACTACTGTCTATAAAATAGCACAAAGCAGAGGCTTCAATTCTCTTGATATTTTTTCTTTTATGAAAAACATTTCTTGCACATTTTTCCCTTTTTGTACCTCCCATCATGAAATTTTCTAAGCTTTCTTGCTGTTTGATGGTTTGCCTGTTAGATGTAGATGGATATTTTGAAAAGGATTTGTGGTGGTTTTCCTAGAGTATGATTTACAGCCAGTGAACATTTTTCTTTAATAGTCAACATTTTGCTATTAGTCATCCATTAACATTGATTATTTTGTATTAAATATGCAACATTTTAATTCTCTGGTATCTGATCCTTTTTTAGACCTCTACTTTATTGTGATGCTTGAAGTTAGGTCCATGCGGAGCAGAAAACTTATTTCATAATCTCTAATTGTTTATTGCTTGTGTAAATCTAAGTGATATTATTGTGTCTCAGTACGTGCATCTAATTAATCAGCCAACAACTCTGAGCACTGTGTGGTACACAGATAAGTATAAAACAGTAAAAGAATGTCTTCAGCATTCTTACAATCTGAAGCGACAAGACATGAAAAAAGGAATCAGCAAAAGAAGTGGTAGAGAGCAAAACATTATAAGTTCATCAAAGAGATACAGAAATAAGTACTAGGACTTGCAGAGAAGAACAGATTCCCATGGAGAGAAATTGGACATGGTAGTAGATGTGTAAATCCAAGAAGATGATAAAGGAACATTAAAGAATAAATAGTTTTATATTGGTAATTTGAGGAGGCAGAGCATGAGGAAGATGATCCTTAGGAGAGGAGAGGTGGAAGCCTATTAAAAAACACATGGATGCAAAAAAGAAAATTGAGTTTGTAAAAAAAAAATAGGGATAGACAATTTTCCTAATGGTGATGGTTTGTGTATATAGGATAAAGTAAAATTGGAAGAAAAAGTTGTGTTTTGAATCTAAGAGCATAATATACCAGGATCAGCAGCCTGAGTCTAGTAGGTAAGTCGAATGAATCCCATATAATAAATTATTATTTCAGAAAAAAACAAAATAAAGTACTATCCAAATGTGTCCTAATAATTAAGTTGGAAGAATAATAAACAATCTCATTTTAGTGTTTCAGGTGGCATATAGGGACCTGAAATAGAGCATTCGCTGTAGGAGTAAAAAGAAAAGGGTGGCTGAAAGAGAAGTTACACTGAAGCTAAAGATTAGATAATTAAGGTAACCCTCAAATTTGGTTTGCTAGGAAAATTATGAATTCAGGTTTAGAAATGCCAAAATTGAGGTGAAAATGGACCGTCTCAGTGTTTCTGTTTAGCTATTTTAGATGGAGAGTCAGAGTTCAGAGTGATTAAAAACACTGGTCAAAATTTAGAATTGAGCTTAAAAATTCTATGAATTTTTAAGAGCGAAGCTCTCAGCAAACTGACAGAAGAGCAGAAGATCAAACACCGCATGTTCTCACTCATAGGCGGGTGTTGAACAATGAGAACACATGGACACAGGGAGGGGAGCACTACACACTGGGGTCGGTTGGGGGGAAATAGGGGAGGGACGGTGGGGGGTGGGAAGCTGGGGAGAGATAGCAAGGGGAGAAATGCCAGATGTAGGTGATGGGGAGGAAGGCAGCAAATCACACTGCCACGTGTGTTCCTATGCAACAATTTTGCATGTTCTTCACATGTACCCCAAAACCTAAAATGCAATAAAATAAATAAATGGAAAAAAAATTACCAATTAAGTTTCATGAAATGTTAAGTCCTTTCATATGTGTTTGTGAAGAAATTTTCTTTTCCTGGCCAAAGGCTGTGTTCTAAAATGTTTCCCCCATTCTAGCTCCTGGGAAATATATACTATAGTTCATAAATTTAAAACATCACTACAAAATCCACTCTTATTCCTACTGATATTGGAATAGCATCAGCGAATTACGATTTGTAGTAACACATTCCTATAAGACCTAGACAAGTTTTCCTTTTCAGAGCACTTACCACAATATCACCAATAATTTGTGTATTTTCTATGTTCCTCCATTGATTCTTATTAAGTAATTTTCACAAGTACCTTATTGTTTATGCATGACATCTGACCAAGACAAATATTTCAGCCTCTCACTTCATTTCTTGCTAAATACCCTATTATTATATAGTTAGTACTTAGAGAAGCAGGTACCCTATTTACTCTTAGCAAAACTACTTTTGATGTAGTAAGGTAAATATACAAGGGCCATATCTCATTTAAACATAGAATTTGTGAGAGATAAAGTGCTACAGGAAATTGGTTATTTGGCATTCCAGTGCCTTGTAAGTTATAGTATTTATCAGTATTATTAACACCTAGTATTAATTATACAAGATGTATTTCAAAACTGTGCAAATTGTTTTACTCAAAAAGCCTAAATCAAATTCAAACTATTTTATATGCTATTGTAGAGTAGGGAGATCTTTTTTTTTTATATGTACTTTAAGCTTTGGGGTGCATGTGCAGATTGTGCAGGATTGTTACATAGGTATACATATGCCGTGGTGTTTTGCTGCATCCATCCCTACATTAGGATTTCTCCTAATGTTATCCTCCCAGTCCCCCCACCCCCTGCTATCCCTCTGTTAGCCCCCCACCCCCCAATAGGCCCCGATGCATGATGTTCTTCTCCCTATGTCCATGTGTCCTCCTTGTTCAACACCCACTTATGAGTGAGAACATGCAGTGTTTGGTTTTCCATTCTTTTGTCAGTTTGCTGAGAATGATGGTTTCCAGATTCATCCATGTCCCTGCAAAGGACATGAACTCATCCATTTTATGGCTGCATAGTATTCCATGGTGTGTATATGCCACATTTTCTTTATCCAGTCTATCATTGATGGGTATTTGGTTTGGTTCCAAGTCTTTGCTATTGTAAACATTGCGTCAGTGAACATACCTGTGCATGTGTCTTTATAGTAGAATGATTTACAGTCCCTTGGATATAATGAGATGGCTGGGTCAAATGGCATTTTATTTTATTCTCTTTGTAGCAATTGTGAATGGGAGTTCACTCATGATATGACTCTCTCTTTGTCTGTTATTGGTGTGTAAAAAATCTTGTTATTTTTGCACACTGATTTTGTACCCTGAGAGTTTGCTGAAGGTACTTATCAGCTTAAGGAGATTTTGGGCTAAGATGATCGGGTCTTCTAAATATACAATCATGTCATCTGCAAATAGAGACAATTTGACTCCCTCTCTTCATAATTGAAGATGCTTTATTTCTTTTTCTTGTCTGATTACTCTGGCCAGAACTTCCAATACTATGTTGAATAGGAGTGGTGAAAAAGGGCACCCTTTTATAGTATCAGTTTTCAAAGGGAATACTTCCAACTTTTGCCTATTCAGTATGATATTGGCTGTGGGTTTGTCATAAATAGCTTTTATCATTTTGAGATACATTCCATCGATACCTAGTTTATTGAGAATTTTTAGCATGAAGGGCTGTTGAATTTTGTTGAAGGCCTTTTCTGCATCTGTTGAAATAATCACATGGATTTGTCTTTGGTTCTGTTTATGTGATGGATCACTTTTATGGATTTTTTGTATGTTGGACCAGCCTTGCATCCCCGGATGAAGCTGATTTGATTGTGATAAATAAGTTTTTGATGTGCTGTTGGATTCGGTATGCCAGTATTTTATCAAAGATTTTTGCATCGATATTCATTATGGATATTGGCCTGAAACTTTCTATTATTTAGTTGTGTCTTTGCCAGGTTTTAGTATCAGGATGATGTTGGTCTCACAAAATGAGTTAGAGAGGATTCCCTCATTTTGTATTGTTTGGAATAGTTTCAGAATGGTTGGTACCAGCTCCTCTTTGTATGTCTGGTAGAATTCGGCTGTGAGCCCATCTGGTCCTGGGCTTTTTTTTGGTTCGAATACAATAAATTGCTGCCTCAACTTCAGACGTTGTTATTGATGTCTTCAGGGATTCGATTTCTTTCTGGTTTAGTCTTGGGAGGGTGTAAGTGTTCAGGAATTTATCCATTTCTTCTAGATTACTGGTTTTTGTGCATAGAGGTGTTTGTAGTAATATCTGATGGTAGTTTGTATTTATGTGGAATTGGTGGTGATATCCCCTTTATCATTTTTTATTGCATTTATTCGGTTATTCTTCTTTCCTTTTTTAATTTTCTGGTTAACGATCGATCTATTTCGTTGATCTTTTAAAAATATCAGCTCCTGGATTCACTGATTTTTTGAAAGGTTTTTTGTGTCTCTATCTCCTTCAGTTCTGCTCTGATCTTGGTTATTTCTTGTCTTCTGCTAGTTTTTTGATTTGGTTGATCTTGTTCCTCCAGTTCTTTTAATTGTGACTATAGGGTATTGATTTTAGATCTTTCCTTGCTTCTCATGTGGGCATTTAGTGTTGTAAATTTCCCTCTAGACTCTGCTTTAAATGTGTCCCAGAGATTCTGGCACGTTGTGTCTTTGTTCTCATCGGTTCTGAAGAACATCTTAATTTCTGCCTTCATTTCATTATATATCCAGTAGTCATTTAAGAGCAAGTTGTTCAGCTTCCAAGTATTTGTGCGATTTTGAGGAGATCTTTGTTTTTGTATGATCATCTTTAAAATTAATAGCCCCATTTTTCATCTTATAGATCCTGGGATTACTGGGCCCATGTCAGTCTGTTAGAGCAGTAAATTGAATATGCATGCAAATCCTTTATTGTTTCTACCTTAAAGAGTTGAAGTCTATATTTCCTTCCCTTGAAAGAAGGCAAGTCCTGTGACATTATTTAACCAATAGAATGTGGTAAAGT